TCACAAGTCCACTTCTTGTACAGCAATTAACCACTAAGAAGAATATATGCAGTGTATTATTTGTTGAAACTGTACTTCTGATTTGATTTGAAACTGTCTCATTGCTATCTGTTTATCAATAAAACTTTGAAAAAAAATAAGGTTAATACTATACAAAGTTTAAATACTAGGTGTCCTATTATTGGTAGAAATAAGCTATAGAGTCTGTGCTCGATTGATTGCTTAGCAGCCAGGGAAATAAAAAGAAAATAATCAGGAATGCGATTCAAAAGTTCTAAATATTAAAAACAACTCTGGAGTCTGAGAAGATTTGAAGACTTGAAAAAAGTTTGTTCTGTGGGTCCTCATAGAGCAGCTATGGTGAACCTGTGGCATGCATGCCTTAGAGGGCTGTCTGTTGTCATTAAAAGCTCTAAGAGGTGGGTCATTGCTGTCATAGAGTTTAGTGTATCATAGAAGAAACAGTGTTTAAAATTAAATCTCACAGAACCAATTTTATAATGTACTTCAGTAGAGGCAAACTCAGTACTAAGATATAAACAAATACAAGCACATTAAAGCAGAGATATACAAAATAGATTAGAAAACTGTTGGAAATTTTTTTGAAAACCTGACAATCCAAATAATGTAGAAATTCAAACCTTGCACTTTTTGACTGTCATTAAAGTTTTCTATTATTTATATTGAATGACCTACAGGGGATAGGAATGGAGTGAAGGACTATAACCTTTTCAATGTTAAGGCTCCCAAAGGTTATGATCAGGCCTGGAAATGAGTGTAATAAGTTGAGAGTGTTTGGCTGAAAACATAGATTAAAGTGTCTGGTGCAAATGAGTAGGTACTCAATACGCATGCACAGAATGAAGCATATCCTTCTACAGTTTCCTCTTTTCTGTGTCTTTTCAAAATAATTTATGCATGAGTGAGAGCTCAGAATGAATGCTGCAATATGCTCTCTGGGCATGTGGTACCTAGTTAGGTTTTTCTGTGAGTTCAGCGAACAGCAGTCAGATCAAGCATTATTTATTGCTTTTTTTCTCCTGTGGGCTGTTAACTGAGGAGTCAAGGCCAACTTATCAGCTTTGGAACTACGTACATTGTGCTTAGAAGGCAGATTACCCTCTGCCTCCCACGTGGACACATTTTATTATGAGAGTTTGCCCCAGAAAGAACTTGCCCATGTTCGTGTTTCACTTGCCTGTTGAGGTGCATTGATCACACCAATGTCATATCCAAACTGGAAAGAACTCAGTGCTGCAGTGAAGACAGTGAAAACCAAGGTTCCAGTAATCTGTGGGATAAAATGGAGATCTGGAGTACATCAAGCAGTTCAACTGCCCACCATTTCAACATCTCAGAGTGTGGACATATTATAGGCTCCACAGGCTGTTTTTTTGCATTTGCTGACCTTTCACAGAATTCTCTGTGCTCTGCTGGGGAGGTGTTGTTCATTTGAGAATGTGAAAGCCATTCACCATTTTGTCTATAGTGCTAAAACTGAAAAAATACTTGGGACAGATTTTTCCAGGGAAAGAACCAAACATCCTCTCCTCTCACCTCCCATTTCCTCCCCTCTCCTCACATCTCCCCTTCCTCTCCTCTCCTCTCCCCTGCCCCTGCCCCTGCCCCTGCCTCTCTGCCTCTGCCCCTTACCCTTACCCTTCTTATTCTTTTTTTAAATGTATTTAGTTCAGGGTTATAGGGTCTCACTACACAGATCAGACTTATAGTCATTCTCCTGTTTTCAGCCTCCCAAGTGCTGGGATTACAGGCAGCACCATGCCCAATCTCAGTTGCTATCTCAGAGAGCTTCTGTGCTCCCCTGTACCCCCCAAATCCCTCTGGATCCAGCCCAAGCCCAGCATGTGAGTGAGACCTTCAGCCGTGCTCTCAGGACCCCTCTAAATCCCTGCAGAACCAGCCCAGGTCAGTTTGAGAAGTTCTGCCACTCTTGTGACCCCTCCAGACCCAGCCTAAGCCCAGGACTGGCAGCGAGTGTGTGGGAGAGCTTCTGCACTCTCTTTTGCCTGCTGGATCCCTCCAGACCCAGCCCAGGCCCACTTGTGAATGAGTCCTTCTGTCCTGTTCTCTGGACCCCTCCAGACCCAGTGCAGGCCTGGCAGGCCTGGGGTGAAATTCTGCAGCTGAAGTCCCTGTGGGGAGGCTAGGGCCCAGAACCACCCACCTAATCCAGGGGCAGAACATCTTGCCAGAGGGCTATAACAGGTTCACTTCAAAGGGCTTGAGCAGGAAGAAGCTGAGCACAGCAACCAGACCCGAGCCAGGCACAACTGGATGAATTCAAACTTTGTAGGTCTGCACCCGGTAAGCTGAGACACTTTTCTAGATCCAGATCTATAAAAGCATCCTCTCTCTTTCTCTCTTGACTGAGAGAGGGGGCAAAATGTAACTGTGGTGAACTAGTTTGCCTAGAAAACAGGTACATCAATGGGAGGTGATCAGACAGAACTTAGGGGAACTAACTCAGTTGCTATCTCAGCACGTCCCAGGGGCTGGGCCAGCACAATGCCTCAGGGATTAAACCCCAGTTCCCATTCTGTCTCAGAAAGTACTTTAATCTGCTGAGCTATTTGGGTGTCCCTCAAACATCCTTTTCTTAAGATCTGTATTTTTTTAAGATTTAAAATCAGAATGAGAGCTAAAACTGCTTTTGAAGCAGAGAAATTGCTAAGATAGAAACCGTGTCACATGTCCTTGGGAGAACCCATATACAACATCAGAACCCATATACAACAACAAGAGAGGGAGAGCTTTTTGGGCTTTGCCATGTACAAAAGCACCTTAGCAGTTATATGAGAGGTGTTAAACAGGCCTTGTCTGATCTACATCAATATTCAGGTAGTGTACTTTATAATATTTCCATCTAGTTGAACCTAGAATTGTGGGTTAAGCTATATTACATTCTCCCTAATTCCATGAAGATGCAATATAACAGATGATCCTTTCAACTCATAATTATATATATCTGACCATCTTAAAGAAATCACATTATGCATACAGCTTTACATGTCTATGTGTGTAATAACAAAAATTTCAAAAAGAACATAAATATCATTAAATGATAGATGGTCAAATAGATTCAGATAATCATGATACATATATCAGATGTACACAACAAGTTATGAAGGAGTTCGTAAGTGTGTGATCAGATGCACTGACCTATTTATAACATGTGATATATACCTATAGGCACACATTCCCAATGAAGCACATAGTATATAATATATGTATTAAAATAAATAATATATAAAAAATTAAAAATAAAATTTAATATATATTATATATCAATAAATTATAAAATGTGTGAATCCTTACACATACATTGTACAATATATGGTGCATTGGACATGGCAGTTTTTTTTAACAAAATTGTTTTAATTTGATTTTTTTATTCTATTGAGAAACAAATAGCAATGAGACTGTTTCAAGACCGATTAGTAGGAGAGTTTCAATAATTAATACATTGCATATTGTTGTCTCTGTAGTGGTTATTCATAGTACAAGTTGCAGACATGATATCCTGTCCAAACACTATTAGTGCAAATCTTCTCATTGAATTAAGAGAAAGTAGCTGTATATCTATCCTATTTTGATTTTTTTTAAAAAAATATTCATTTTAATGAGAAAAAATAGCAATGAAACAATTTCAAAACAAGTTAGTAGGACAGTTACAATAATTAATACATTACATATTGTTGTCTTCATAGTAGTTATTCAGAGGACAAGATGCAGACATGATACCTTGTCTAAGCAATATTAGTATAAACCTTTCTTCTCATTGAACTAATAGAAGGTAGCTGTATATTTATCCTAACTACAATGTTGTATATGGTTTGATTTCTAAATTTCTGGACATAGTAGATTTTGAAATATCTTTTAAAGTGTCACTAGACATCTAAAACTTGTGGCTCAGACAGCCAAAGCTAAAATAGGGTTCCATTTAATTGGTTGGTGATTGCTCTTTCAGTCTTTTTCTGCCTCAAGCTGTTTCCAAGGATAGGAATTTCATCTAATTCACAGGTGATAATCATTATCAGCAGTGTGGGAACCAGGTGCCTTTAAAAGGTGTTAGTCTATTTCCCTTATATTGTCTGTCAGTCTGGACAATGTGATGTGAATTATAGGGCAAACCCAGTTTTAAAGCCTAGTACTATATATTCACATCAACACATCTAATTACTGCTTTATGTGGATCATTGGATTTATTCTTTGTTTTCTACTGTGACTGTAACAAATTATGCCAATCCATTGATTTAGAGAACATAAACCTATTTATTATAGAGTTATGTTAATCAGAAGTCCAGAATGAATCTCAGCAGATTAAATTCAGAGAGTTAGCAGACTGTGTTCCTTTCTGGGGGCTGCAGGAGAAAATTTATGTTGGTGCAGATCCTCATAATGATAGGTTGAGTTTTATATTTTCCTCCTGGCTGTAAACTGAGGGCCATTCTCAGCATCAGAGACCAACACATTTCTTAGCTAACTGTACCCTTCTTCCATCTTCACTGCTAGCAACTGCATGTCAGCTCTTATGTTGCTGCTTCTCTGGAGCAGATAACACCAAGGAAAAGTCCTGTTTGAAGAATGCATGGGATTAGGCTTGATTTACCCAGATAATCCAGGAAAATCTCTTCACTTTGAGGTTCATACCCTCAGTCATATCTTCAAAAGTCTTTTTTGCCTTCTACATGGGTTGGCCCAGGACTTGGTCTGAGAAAGTTTTATTAAGTGGGAATTTTTTTTGAAAATTACTAAGTATGAAAAAACCTGATTAACCATTATCTCTATTCACTTTAATGCCAAGATATTACCACAATATAGATACTTAAGAGCTGAAGAAAATAGTGAGAACTCAGGGTTTTATTTAGTTCAGGGTTTAGTGTCCTAATGGGTTTGCCTGTTCTCTTGAAAACCTTGTAGATAGAAGTTATTATCCCTTCATTCATTGAAGCATATATACAGACAGTTAATAATATGAAAAAAAATCCATGTATACTAAGAAGTAAATGATCTTTAGACTTTTCCTCTAAACATCTTTATAGGCTTCAAGGTATTTAACATTTTAAGTAATTCTGCCTTCACTTAAGGTTTAATGTTTTTAAGTTAGAGAAACTAGTTCTTATATATAGTTTAAAATACACCATGGGATAAATGTGGAGGGGTAGGATAGGCAAATAACTGAACCTTAAAATGGCAGAAAATGTGCTTATTTTATGGCTTAGAAGACATCAGAGAGAATTTATTAGTAAAAAAAAAAAGATACACATGTAAGTAGAGAATTTAAGAAAAAGTTTTAGCTAAGCTCTTACCATCCCTGAGCCTCAGTTTCTTTGCCTGTAAATGATAGTTAATGCATAAGCTTATCATAAAAATTAAATAAGATAAATAATGTGGTTGTCCTTTAAACAGTAAAAAGGCAAATGAATAAATGCATCTTTGTTCATATCATTATCTCATTAATCAGTCTTGTCAAACAACTATATGTTAACTTTTCATGTATTATGAATAACCTTCACAACAATATTTCCATAATCTTCCCAACAGTATATGAAATTACTCCCATTTTACAGCTGAAGAAACCAAGCTCAGAAATGATTAAGGGGCAAGCCTAACACCACAGAATTATAGTGCTACCTCGGTTCATAGGCTTAATTCTTTGCGCCATTCTGGTCGCGACTGAATTGGACAAGAAACAAATCAAACTCAGTGTTATGTTCAATGACCTTATGGGGGAAATTTGATTGGTTCTTCTCCAATTTAATTTGTGACTAGAATTGCAGAAAGAATTAAGTTTATCAACCAAGGCACCACTGTGACAAATACTCTGTTATGGAACTCTAAGCTGATGATCTTAAACCCTCACTACTGAATGAAAAAGAAACGTTTTCAGCAACTACTAAATGACTAAGTAGGGGGGAAAGCTTATGCATTTCCTTTAAACAGTATTCTCCAGGAAGCCAAGCCAATGGTGACTTTGCATTCAAATTGGAAAAGGCCAGTGGCTTCTCAAGCATAGGAATTTTAGATTAAAAGGAATTTTAGAGAGTGGTGAATCCTTGTCTAATTACTCCATTTTTCAGTTTAAAAAATTGAAGTCCCACAGGCTAAGGCTCTTGTCTGAGTTCTGTGTATGTCTAGAGCAAACACCTTAGGTCTCTTGACCCACAGATCTACAATTATGCTGTCCCTTTAAAATCTGGGTGAAATTAAAAAATTGAAAAGCTTTGCTTTTTATACAAGTTCTCAAATATTTTTAGATTCTATTATTAGGTAATTACTTGTTACTCAAGGAAAATTCTACAACCTAATTTCCAAAATCCATAAGGGAGTTTAATTAGTTGTAAATGACGCTCGGACTGTCTGCTCAATGCCAGCTCTCTGCTAAGCACATTACCTTCATTCCCTCTTGCAGTACCTTCCATAGGTACTAGTATTTATCTTTATATTACCTTTAAAGTTCTATTCTAGATTTATTCTGGGCTTCAGCATCCATAAAATTGTGGTATATTATTCTTTAAGTACATATTGTATAACTATTAACATTAAAATGTTTATCATAGAAACTTCTCTGGTATTATCTGATTTCATTATTCTCAAGGCCTCAGGTATTATGATAATACCTAGAAAGCCCATGTACATCTCAATATGTTCTTATTTTTCTTTAAATATAGAAAACCCAAAGTTCAGTTGAATAATTTCACCCAAGTCCCATAGCAGTGGAGAAGCAGTGCTATAGCATAGATCCAGGCATGCTGACATCAAAGTTCATGCTGTGAACCATGCTTCTTATTGGCACATACTAATAATCAGCAGTGTGTGTCCTGCCTGCTCAGAACTTAAAGGTCCAAGTCACAGGAGCATCAATTTATCAACTTGTATTATTGTGTACTTGTGTGGGTGATTCTGGTTAAGGAAAATTTCTAAGGGAACAAGTATATCATTTTAGTTCCCTTGAAAAGTAGTATATCTACAGAGAAGTTCAAATAATAGTGCAATGTACACTCCAAAACCTTCATGTATATGAACATCTATTGCATTTAAATCTCACTGCGTGTGTCATTTTAGCTGAAACATTTAAAAATAAGTTTTAGATATTTATATCACCTCTTAAATACTTCAGCATGGACTCACTGAGAACAAAGATATCTTTCTGCCTGGTTATAATATATTATCATATCTGATAATATATTGATATTGTATTAGTAACTAAGATATAGTTCACATTCAGAATTTCCCAGCCATCTTCAAATTATCCTAATGCGTTCCTCATTCTTCTGTGATTGAAGAATACTTGTTGCATTTTTTGGCTAATTCTTCAGTCTTTTTTCTAGAGCTTTATTTCTACCTCTTGTGCTGTTCATGCATCAACAGTTTTGAATATTTCAAATCAATTCCATGATTAAATTCAGGTTAATCTACCCCCTTTTAGGGAAAAGGGCACATTCCCTCAGTCATATGGTTTTACAGAATCGCTTGGAAAAAGTTAGAAAACACAGCAAACATCCTGAAACCCCCAATACTGAATAAGAAGCAGGTTTTTCTTTAGCAACCAAATGAATTACCAAGTAAGTAGCTTTGATTTGTAGTAGCTATATCAAATATTCTCAAAAGCTCTGTGTACTCACCAATGTGAACAAATTCTCCTATTGAGTGTTTCAAAGCTAGTTTAAAAATGAACCTGATGCTGATTTACCTTATCTCCTGCCATTGTGTGGGTTGGGAGTCCTCTTAATTCCAGGTCCTGTACTGAGTGTGGAATATCTAGCTGACAGTCCCTGATTCTATGTGCACCCTGTGGTTATATATTGTAGGAGGAGGAGGAGGAGCAGCAGCAAAGTGGGGCGGGGAGAAGAGCTCAAACTACAAGTACAAGTCTAATAGTAGACTCTTAATAGTAGAATTTGAATTTTGATGAGAATCAAATCAATTAATCCTTTGCCTCTGCAACTGTGGCTCCAGTACCTTTTTTCACCAGAAGAGAAAATGGGAGCAGATTCATTAGGCGTAAGTTACAAATCAGAGCTTGTCACATTTTAAGGCATGTATTAAGTGTGGCAACAACTGGGTACAGGTAGAAAGAGAACCCTGTAAGCTGTTTCATAGGAAATATCTTGTCTTTTGAGATATGCTGGGCTGCCAGGTAGTGTTCTGGGAAGACAAAGATGGGCACAGGAAGCACAATATGCCCTGCTCTGCTGAGTGCTTGTACTGTGGTATTTGTGCTTTAGAGCCGGGTGGTGTGGCCAAGCACTGCTGTAGACTAGACTGGTTGTCTAAATGAGATCTAGAGAGCGAAGGGTTAGAGTGTGACTCTCAGAATTTACTGGTTTGCTGTGATTTTCATGTGCATTAATTTCTTTTTAAACCTGAGATATGGAAGTAATAGAACATACACTTTGTTTTTGTTGGGAGGATTAAATGAAAACTACATAAAAGTGCTCTAATGTTCAGTGAATGGTGGTTGTTATTGTTATTACTATTACTGAGTCAGTATATGACAAGAGGAACTTGCTGGAGGTAACAGTGTAGCACTCACAAGTCTGTTCATATGTCTTCAGCTTGTGCCCTCTTGGGTATCCTCTCAGACATACAATCTCTTTTGGGGGTCCACAAGGTATCAAAATTGATTGAGCTTTAACTGTACCTGGCAACTAGGGTCACTGCTTCCACTGAGACTCACATGACACCAGTTTGCCACAGAGGAAAGGTAAAAGACAGCAGCAAAAAGAGGGTCACAAGAAAGAGATGGAATGAGAAAGTGAAGAGGTAGAGGAAAATCAGATTTTGTTTGTCTTTTATTTTGCCTAGCTTTTTTCTTTTGTACCACTTCTGCAAGATGATGCATCCAAAATGTTTGGTTTTAGAAGGTTAATTCAGTTCAAATCACTAACAATAGGGGAATCCAGCTCCATGCTTTGAGACACAGGAAACATAATAAGACACAGCTGCTTCCTACTAGAAATTTGTAATGTATAAGGTCAGATGTATGCAAATACAAATGCAAAATACAATGATTTCTTATAGGAGAAGCATGGACAAATGTCAGTACTAATGATAGTTAATCTTTATTGAATCTTTGCTTGCTGTCAGGTGCCTCTCAGCACTTGCCATACATTAACTTGTTTAGTCATAACAGAAGAGTTCTGCTTGTAGAGCCATGCTTTGGGGAGCAGCTTTGAAACAAGACTTCACAGTCCCCAGGTAGCCACATAGACTTTCTGTAGTTTTGGCAGCTTTTGCACAGGCCCACTCCTTAGAGCCTTCCTCTGTAGTTGTTTTCCAGAAACCTGACAATCTTCAGTAAAGAGGCTTGTGCTGCTGTTAGGAATGCTAGCTATCTGCTGTGTACCAACCTTTGTCTTTTGAACTCTCTTAGGCTAGTGAGAGTATTAAGTCTTGGCCAGCACCTAGCAGATGTGGGAGTTACTCTCTCCCTTTCAAAGTGCTGCCTGCCTCTCACTGCGAGCCACTGCGATCAGCTTCCTCTGAGTTGGCCCCCGCCTCGCCTCTCGTTCTGCTCTTGCTCAGAAATGAGAATGGCCCCAATATTTTGGAGGGGCTAAAACTGTCTCCGGAATGGGGTTGAAGGATTTAGTTGTAATGATTACACTCAATTATTTAGCCCTTGGAGAACTGATACTTGATCCTAGTCTCCCAGGAAAGTGTACGTTAGTGGCTTCCTGGCTGTGGGACAAAAATCAGACTTGTGGTATGGGACTAATCAATGAGAGCCTGCTATTCGCCTCTGTGTGATCGATCACTTTTTTTGATTAATTGATTCTTGGTGGGTGCTAAGAGTTACAAAGCAGCACCCATCACCCTGTCTTTGTTTTCTTTATTGTTACGTTTTCTTTTGGTACAATGAGTCTGTAAATGCAAGAAAAGAAAAGCAGCTATCTGTGCATGCCACATTCTTTTCTGATAAGGTAAAGTGAGATGTCAGTAAGGGCAGGTATTTCCTAGGAACTAAATCAAGTGAGTTCAAGATTGGCCAAGACAGGGATGCAGCAGAATATCCAAAGGTTCCAGTTCCTGAAGAAGGCAGTATTTTTACAACTCTGGAAATAGATTTGGTATTGTAGCCTCCCAGAGAGGGAGGGCAAGCTCTTTACATAGTCTTCCCAGCCTTTGTGTAGATGCCTCTTTGGTCACTGTCAGCAACTCTCTTGTGTGTATTTGCATAGCCTTCTACTAGGTCTCTTCACTCAAGCGAAAATCTGTTCAAAAAGTTCATTCAGATGATAATGCACCCCCTACTGGGGGCAGGACCTCTGTGACCTCTTAGTCATCCATAGGAGGAAACCCATATTGTTCACCATGGCCTAAGAGACCAACCTGCTGCAGGCCAGCTCTAAGATTGACTTTCATCCTCTGGACCCAGGCCGTGGGCCTCAAGCTATCCCACATGCTCCAGTCTCAGCATCTGTGTGATGGAGGAACTCGGAGTGCCTCTCCCTAGGTTTCAATGTCAGTGGCATCTTTTCTTCACTGATACTGAGCCTCTGGAAGAGATTCCTCACCAGGTTGCTTAAAGTAGATACTAGCTCTACCTTTTGTTATGACACCCAGCCTTGGGCCCCCTTCCCCTGCACCCCTTCTGATGTTCCTAGATGCGTCAGCCACAAGTGTGCTGCAAAGATTTAACCTTGACTGTCTACGTCTGGTTGATTACATATATAGCTTTGTTTTGGCTTCAAGGACTCTATACTTTGTGCCTAGAACACCCTGGCCCAGCTAGGGACACATTATGACTCCCCTTTCCCATTCCCACCTGCTCTGTACAGTACCTATCTTCCCAGCCATTGCTGCTGTTCCGGTCCACTGAACGCCCTGCTCATGCTAGCTGCCGCCAATAAACCACTCCTTTTGTGCCAGCTAACTTGAGTGTAGTCTTGTTTGGGATTAAACACACCTTTCCCCAACAGTTTTCCTGTCACCTTCAACTCATGCTTTGCTTGTTACTCTGCTTTATTTTCTTCATTGAGCTTCTGCTTTAAGTTTTATTATGTCTATTTACTATTGTTTGTCACTTTCTCTACCAAGTCTGAGTCCTATGAATGTGGAGACTTTCTTATATTTTTACCCTTAATACCCATAATAGTAGTAAATATAGGCTACTGTGAGTAGTAAATATAGGCTTTCTCCTAATAGGAGGGGTATTTGAGACTGTTATTGAGACATTTATTGACATAACACTCACAAAGGAAGTATTTAAAATATTTACAATTTTCTAGCTTATCAGTTTTAACTGTGAATGACACAACCAAGAACTCTGCTCTTGGTGGATTACATTCTAAGAAAGAAAGAAGGAGTACTGAATAAGAGAACAGTGAGAGGCAGCCTTGGTAGAAAACATATTCAGGTAAACATTCTTGACAGATATTCCATTTTGACTGAAGTGTGAAGAATGGGTTGGCAGCAAGGAGGTGGAAATACAGTAAATTTTGAGGAAGGAAAGATCTTAAATTGAAGAATAAGAGAAGTTTTGTTAAGATAGGATGGAGATAGGAAAAAGTAGGAGAGATACTTAGGGGAGAGCAGCCATGGTCATGCAGGACGTAAGGCCATGGGGAAAAGTTGGAATTAACAGAAACACAATGGGAAGTCATTGGAGGAATTAATGATGGGAATGATTTTTATTTTATTTTATTGAGAAACAAATAGCAATGAGACAGTTTCAAAACTGATTAGTGAGACATTTTCAATAACTAGTAAATTGCATATTGTAGTCTTTGAAGTGGTTATTCATAGTACAAGATGCAGACATGATATCCTGTCCAAACACCATTAGTACAAATCTTTCTTACTGAATTAAGAGAATGTAGCTGTATATTTATCCTATTTTGTATATACAGATACAAAATAGTCCTTCATTTGTATCCCCCTTTTTTGTTTAGTTTTGTCAGAGATGGGTATTGCAGGGAATGATATAATCCAGTATGTGTTTTAAGATTACTCCTGCTGTTGAGTGCAGGGTGGATGATGTCCTGGTTGCAGCACCCAGGAAAAAATAGGAGGCACACTTGCAAGGCTATCATTACAATTCATGCTTGCTGTTGACCCCCAGAACTAATGGTAGCAGAGAAAGAAGTAACAAATTCAAGGTATGTCTTGGTGAGTAAAGATGGAACTTATAAAGATACTTACTTTGAGGGGAGGCGGAAGGGAGAGTACTCAGATGACTTGATCCTTTTCTTGCTTATTAAACTTAATAAACTTAGGTAACTATTTAACATCATACGTAGGAGATTGTTCAGTCACCTGAGTATAATCCAGGTTTATCTCCTGAATCTCATGAAAGACCATCAAAAAATAGATCTTGCTCTAAATATATTTATCCAGAATATATTTGCAGTACATAAAATTTACATTCATCTTGGGGAATATATATATATATATATATATATATATATATATATATATTCTTGTTTCTTTTTTAAATCCCCTTCCCCTTCCCACCCACTTCTCTCCTTCCATCTCTAAATCCCCTTTCTCCATTTTCATTCTCGTTACCATTATTCTTAGCTTTTGGAGGAAGATTACTAGAGGGTATATAGCTTGGGTCATATGAAATTTCTAATTTTAATTCTTTGAGAAATCTCCATGCTGATTTCAATAATGACTGTACTAGTTTACATTTCCACTAACAATGTAGGAGGGTTCATTTTTCACCTCAGTCACACCAACATTTGTTATTCTTTGACTTCTTGATTATTTTTATTCTTTTTGGTATAAGATGTAATCTTAGCAGTGTTTTACTTTCCAT